AAAAAAAAAGGTTTATAAATGAAAAATAAGAACCTCCGTCACTCTTCACTATCGTGAGAGGCACTTCACATTTTGCTGGAAAATACAAAAGGCGACCTTCTTCTTCTCGGAAGCTGTCGGATCCTAGACAGGAGAGATTGGAGGAAAACACTGACCGATGTGATAAAGATACGATATGAAAGTAAGCTCACGAGTTTTCTTCAAATCCTCAACTAATGATACCATCATTTTTTGGTAAAAAGACTCGCCAACATCTTCGAGAACGATATCGAGCCGATCATATACGATTTGATTATCTAAATAAACATGATACAAACATAATTTTGGGTTAAAAAGGCTTACACTTCTTGGAGATGTTGCAAATCATAGTCCAAGCGTCAACTATTTCTTGGTCGTAGCTTTGTAGCCTCACAACGCAGTCATATGCACGCTTCTTAAACTCGCCGTCTTCGTCAAATCGTTTCTTTGATTCCTTCAAAGCAATTATCAAAAGTTTCTCGTTCAAACTCATAAGGTATCGCTTACTTTGTAAAAAGCCTGTAAGTCGCTAATAGGTGGTGGCTGATTCATGAAATCAGGGTATTTGTCGAAGAGGTGTGCGATCAACATTCCAAATTGTGTTCCCCAATCACCGATATGATTAACTCGCAAAACCTAAGCATACACAAAGATGCAATGCTGACCCCAAAAAGGTGCAAATATAGGCTGAACACATACGTCAAATCCAACGGTTTCTAGAAGGCGGCATATAGAATCGCCGATGATTGTTGAGCGTAGGTGGCCCACATGCATTTCCTTGGCAATATTTGGTGATGAAAAGTCGACAACAACTCTTTTTTTCTCCACTTTAGGAAGATGAACGCCCTTAATTTTTAGAAGGATGAGCGTGAGATGGTCGGAGAGAACGCAATGCAAAATACCTTAGTGGCAATAATTCCGATCTCTTTCTCAATGAAGGCCCTGTTGAGGAATATGTTTATGAACCCGGCAGGAACTACTTCAATCTGAAACGTAAACTCTTTTGAAAGATTTAAAAAAAAACACGAAATTGCGCAGTATGAACGAAGTTACCTTCTCAATGAGTTCACAGGTCGGCACTTTGCTCGCAATTCGACTAGCAACTTCTGATGGTTTCATTGACGTACCCGCTGCTTTTAGCTTCTGCATAGGTAAGTTTTAAAAAACCATATGAAAGCGAAGATGTTAACAGACCGCACAGAGAGCCATAGCTGAATTGCATTGATAATCACCAAATTTGGCGTTCGTTGCCTCTGTCAATGCCACCACTACTCCTTCCACAGAAGGAAAAGCCTAAAAAGCAAGAGGGCTGTAAAAAAAA